TAATCCTCAACGGTAGAGCCCGTACGAAGTAATTGGCATTTGCAAAAATGGAGGTTGTTCTATGGGCACGCTGCCGTCTCTGTTTACGTCCCCGCATGTTTGTGTGCGAGCCGATTCCTTCCGTCCTGCAGTGTTGGCAGCGGTATCGGACAAAGGGGTTGCTACATCCAGGAGTAGTAGACACACCTGGCTCTCGTCGCCAGCCCATCTGAAACATGGGCTTTCTGATGGAACCTTTAGCCATTAGACTTAAATCCCCAAAACGGAGATCTCGAACAACAGAGAGCTAACATTCTAGTCTTGCCACTGACACTGGCAGATCACCAGAGAAAAGAGGTTTTCGCGTCGGACCACTCCTTGCTTGGGTGTCGCAGTAAGCCCCTTAAAGACTCAAGCACCGTGCATGTGCTCAGAACGCTGCAAGCCGTAAGCCCAGAAAGCACCCTGATGAGACCTTGCCCTTGAACGAAGGCTCAAAGACTACTAGCCAACTGCAGTTCAGGGTGGTCTAGTAGTTCCGATATAAGAAGCAGACGACCCTATTGCAATTTCATCTTGCCAGGCCATGCCCAGAGACTCCAAACCCCCTTAATTAAGGAATATATACCTTACATCATGTTGGGGTTCCTATTATAGCTTAAGGTATATTCCTTGTTTAAGGGTCGCTGGGTAATATTGGGTGGTTACGGACCGGAGACTTACAGAGCTCAAAAAGCCCTAAAGCCACAAAACCCCCCAGACCAGCTTTCGTCGTGGGCTTTCAGCCCCGTGACATACAACATGTCTCAACGGTTTAGGGTTTAGGGTTTAGGTCTCTCTGAGATTCTGAATGCAACTTTTGGGTTTAGTGCCTGTATGCGGTGCAAGGAGGCTCGCAAAGTAGGGTTCACTGCTTACAGAGTTCAGCGTGTAGGATTGGGTTTTAGCCGCTTTAACATGACATGATACTGCTGGAGGCACTTCAGAGAGACGTCGTTCAAAAAGTCTAAATTTAAATCCCAAACCCTAAACGGCCCTAAACCCTAAACCCCCTAGGCCAGTATCAGGGATCTAGAGTTGCAAGTGTTGGACATCGACCCCTAAAGCTTCAGCCTTTTAAAAATTCAAGCCGAAAGCCAAACCGCGAAAAAACAAATGATCAGGGTTTCTGGGTCCAGGGGCTTCAGGGGTTTAAGGGTTCAGGGTTCAGGGGTTTAAGGGTTTTATGGTTCAGGGTTCAGGGGCTGAAGGGTTTAAGGGTTTAGGGCTCAGGTGTTTAAGGGTTTAGGGTTCAGGGTTCAGGGGCTTAAGGGTTTAGGGTCAAGGGGTTTAAGGTGCATTAGTTTGCTTTAGGCACTTGCACGGCTTTTCACCCGACGCTCTCGTCGCTTCGATTTCGGCTCGTACTGCTGCGAGAGGATGCTTTCTTAGGTAGGCCACTGGGGTAGTCAACTTTTCCCCTTGTTGGGCCAAGGAGAACCTTGCTTACACATTTTGGTTTAGAGGCCTTTATGCTTGAAAGGCCAGTTTATGCCAGTTTAGTTTCTGTTTCTTACGGCTTTCATATCTTCCACGCACATTTCGGAATCACTGCGAAGGTCCTTATCGGAAGAGTGCTGTGCGAGGATCTGGAACCCGAAGCCCAGCCCAAATGGAGTTCAAACAAGGGTACAAGGCAGACCGTAGCACTCAAGTCTGGACCCAGCCCAAAACTCATAACTCCCACTCCGCCCCCACCCCCCCACTGCCACCGTAATAATCCCAATCTATAGCAGTCCGACATCACATACCTTCCCCTAAACCCCAAACCCTCAAACTTTGAAAGGGTTTCACCCATCGTCGAATCTCGCGGCCTTGATTATGGCCCAAAGCGCACATTGCGGCGAAGGTGCGGGTCAGGGTTTAAAGGTTTTTGGGGCGTAGGTTTTTAGGGTTTCAGGGTTTAGGGGTTTGGGGGTTTCAGGGCATAGTGCATTGCAGTCCCTGCTCAAAAAAGGGGTTTGGGGGTTAGGGTTTAGGGTCAGAGGCGAGGGAACAGGTTTTGCGAGGTTTCAGGACGGGTGCTTGCTGGGATACTATACAACTTGACGTTCTGTGTTAAGTGGGGGGTTCAGCATGTACCCGTGCTGAGTGGTTGACGTCAGCCAGGGGGCTGGACTTCGGCTCAGTTCGTAGTATATGTAGCTTCTAGGTCCAGCTGGGCGGCGCTTAGATTGTACTGCATTCAAAAAACGGGTACTTGCGGGTCGTTGAATTACAGCAGCCTAACGGCAAGGCAACATCTCAGGCCTCATTACGTCACATAAGCATAGAGATATCCCACCCAGGAAACCTGTAGTTGCCGCTCTGTTGGGTATTATCTCATGAGCTGGAAAGCTTTCGGGGCTTTGCCACACAAAAAGAACAGCTTCGGAAGGCCTTCCGCGGTCACGAAAATGACTTCATCTGGCACCACATACAGATTTCACCATACTTGTCTTTGCTCCTGTTTGTAGATCACCTAGGGGCATCAGGATCCCACGAATTTCTCGTCATGCCGAGTTTGCTTCTGCCAGCATTGGCAATGGCAATGCGAAGCATAGCCTCCCGTCTTGTGCATGCAGGATCATGCGCCAACGTGATGTGAGGTTTTGCATGGTATGCACATGCCTGGTATTGTCAGCTTGAAGCTGATGCATCTTACTCGTGGTATCTCCTTGAAGCTGTTGCCGCCTGTGAGGCCCCCCATTCCGCCTATAGCGCTTTGTGCGCCAGAGTTATGGGAAACCTTTGCGGAACTTTGCGGTGGACCCGCCACGGCGCCGGACGGCAAGGCGAAGACTGATGCATTAACACTCTCCTGCAACGCAATGTCGCAGGTACTCTGAGAAAAAGCACTCCAAATTCCATGATTCCATGTGCATGATGTAGGGCGTGAAGACCCCTACAAGCGGTCTACGAAGCAAAATCCGGCTCATGTGGCTCCTTATGTGGACTTCGGAGGCATCCCGAGCCCACAGGGCCGTGCCTAGGGCACAGGCTCTAGAGTTCCCTTTGCACAGGATCTAGGGTTTAGGAGCACAAGCCATTTTGGGTGCAGGGTTTAGGGTTTAGGAGCACAAGCCTTTTAGGGTTTAGGGTTTAGGAGCATAAGCCAGACACCTTGAGAATGCCCTGGCGCACCCTCCTCACTCGGAGCTGCAGTAATACCCCAGGTTCTGCCTTGTCTCCATAGGCGGGCATACACTTCTCAAAAGTCTGGCGGAGACCGGACAGACTGAACCTGGCATCGCAAGACTGAAGAGAAGGCTAGGGTCTAGAGTTCATGTGGCCGTTCCATTAATTTAGGGTTCAGGGTTGAGGAACTTACGGTGCCGCAAGCATTGGCGGCCCGGAATTTAAGCCTTCCAAAACCTCTGTCGCCACCTCTCTGTGAATCATCCGTCCCCGAACGCCCTTCAGTCTGAATGTCCGGGTTCAACAATCTAAGCCCCATACCCTAGACCTTGATCCCCCTGCACCCTAAACGCGAAAGCACCGAAGGCAACCCGAAGCCCAATCCAGTGTCTCCGCGCGCTCCACACGCTGATGCAGTTGTGCGAAAAGTTGGCCTGTGCCCCCCTCAGGTGTAAAAGTTCGCATGTAGGGTACGTAGCTGTACAGGCACGCACCAACAAGCTAAAGCTGCGACTCCTAAACGACGCAGCAACCAAAGCTGCGAAGCCCAGTCCCCTCTGGTCTAAAAGACCCCATGCGTTCCGGCTTCCGGCACTAAGGTCCTAAAACAATCAGTTCCGAAACCAGAAACCTTAAATCCTCAAGCCCGAAGTCCCTAAAGCCGGAAGTCCCTATAAAGACCTATAATGTCCTAAACGCAAAGCCCGAAACAGTGGGAGGATGGGATGTGGAGCTGGCCGACCAGGACTCTATGACCAGGTTCCTGCCTCCCATAGCCTTAGCCTGTTGCTCAATGCCAGCGTTTGAAATGTGTATGTGTGTGTCTAACTGTTTTTTGATGTATTTACATATGTATATATACATACATCCATCCATCCATCCATCCATCCATACATACATACATACATACATACATACATACATGCATAAACACATGCATGTATGCATGCATGCATGCATGCATGCATGCATGCATGCATGTATCTCATGCATGCATGCATTCATGTTAGACATAGTTGTTCACACAGGTACATACACACGAAGTCCGCGCATGTTTATGCTTGCATGGGTGCCGATGTGGATGTATACATGCTACCATACATGCACGCGTAATTGTACATGTACTTTGATTGTGTTGTGCTGCTTCGTGGACCTACTCGACAAGACAGCATTCGGGGCACGAGGTGTAGGCCCTACATTTTAGTGTCGCGATTCTTGAAACCGGTTGGCATCGCATGTGAGCAGCATTGTCGTCCCTTGGCCATGGCATGGGGCGCAAACGCAAAGCTTTGGGGTTCAGGAAATAGGATAGGACAGGGGAAGGTGGGTTCGGGGTTTACGATTTTAGGGTGTAAGGCTTAGGATTTAGGATGGTTGGTTGCCGGTACGGTCGATTCTGGGCAGCAGTGACTTTACTGCTTTAGCGGGCGCTGTTCAGCAGTCCGTTCTTGTAGTTGTCATTGGAAGGTGAATACATTCAGCTGCTGCATGCAGAGGTGGTTGTTAGAATCTGGAATTGGAACCCGATCACTTATTCCGATGCACCCTGCCATTTGTGCCAAGCACCTGGCTTGCCTGGAGGTGAAGCCTGCTCCATTAGCCAGTTGTTCGTGTGCAGACTGCAACTCCCGAATACAGCTGCGGCATTCTAGGGGTGGAAGTGATCTGTCTTGTGCCCTCTGCCACTGAGAAGGAATCGCCCCTGAAACGATCTCGTCTGATCTCGTTGCACAGTTTTGCAGCATCCGTCTTATGACGTTCAAACCCTTCATTCCATGTACCCCAAGCCCTAAGCGCTAAGCCGTGCCATATGTGCATCTACCTCCTGAATCCCGAAGCCCCACTAAACGCAAAGCCGTGCAACGATGTTCCGCACAGCCAGCCGATGGCGCCTCCGTGCCTCCATCCTTTCCGCCGCCGGAACCCTGGCGCCCCTGCCGTGGTCTCCAAAGCACAGTCGGGCCGAGGAGGTTGTGGCAGGGTTCCTTTAGAGGGTTCCTTTAAGGGATCTATATAAGGTTTAGGGTTGAGGGTTTCAGGGTAGGCGTTGGTGCCGAGGCTTTAGGCTTTAGGGGTTTATGTTCAAAGGGTTTAAGGGGTTTATGTTTAGGGCTTCGGGGTGCTATGTTTAGGGTTTAGGGTTTAGGCTTTTGTGTTTAGGGTTTAGGGTGTTTTGTTTAGGGTTTAGGGTTTATTTAAAGGCAAAGTCACCAAGGTCGCTGACCGCCTCTGCTGAAAAGTGATTGATGCGGCTTCACACTATTGGTACGATCATTACTCGAATTGAAATTGCTGTTATCGTTATTGTCACTATGATTCGTAGTTGTATTGTTGCTACTATCACTCTTCTTCTTACTTTATACATGCTAATTACCAATAGGTGGTAACCACATCAGCACGGTATCACACACCAGTGACGAGCTACTGCTGCTTAGCAACCTCTCACTGATCGATCAACGGCGAGCTTCGCTTCTCCCCTAAGCCAACCGTACAATTTCAAAATATGACAGCGTCGTTTTTATACTTGGGGATTCTGACTTTCTCACATCTCAGCAAGCAAAAACTCCGAGCATGGGCTATCCATAGACCCCCTCTTCCTTTCTTCGGTGTTCCGGGCTTATCGGATCCAGAGCTTGGGGTTGAAAAGTCTTGGGGTGAAGGGTTTTTGGATTTGCGGTTCAGGCACAGGGTCTAGGTTGTGGGGTCTAAGGTATACTGTAGGGCTGCTTATATAGAATTCAGGTTTAGGGCATAAAGGCTTTGAAGCCAAAGAGGACGTACTGCGAGGGTTGACAGCGTTCAAGCTTAATTGGCTCAGGTTTTTGGATTAGAGGGCAAACGACTTGGGGTTCATATAGGGTTTGAACTTAGGGTTTGTGGGTGAGGTACATGGATCCACATGACAGAAGGTGTCGGGTTTATGGAGTTTGGGCTGTAGGCCCGTAGGGTTTGGCCTTCTTTGGCTGGTGGTATACGGGTTAGGTTGGATTTAATGTTGGGAGCTGAACAGCTAGTAGATGCTACTGAACCCTGGCTGTTCGACTGTGCTTATGGGTGGAGGTTAGATACATCAGGATACATTTCGTTCAGCACATGTTTTCCGAGTGAGCTTACATCCGGCTGAGGTTTTAGGGTTTAGATTCTATAGGGTTTCTTAGCATGTGTTCCACTAGCCGGCGAGAGCGTTTTTCCCCTTGGGGCCCCGGGCTGCTTAGAGCTGTGAGGACAAGGTCTTCCCTGAGGCGGAGGTACGCCGGCACAACCGCGAGAAGGATGCGTGGATATCCTTCAATGGCGCTGTGCTGCTTGGCTTGAACTCATAGATTTCCTGCTGAATGTCAGTGGGTCCTCCTCCCCCTGAGGCATTGAAGTCCCAGCCCTACTCCCCAGAATTACCCTAAACTCTTGCCTTAACCCTCGACTCTTACCCCCCATACACCCCTGTGTCCTCTGTTCCGTAGGTGAGGTTTGTATCCCGCTGGAGTTCTCTGTGCACCGTGTCACTTGGTCCATCTGCGCACCCCGAGACCTTGCCTGGCAAGTCCGAGTTGTGAGAGCTCCTGGGTAGTATTAGGGAGACCCTTTAAAGGGGACCCTTCTGAACCCTTCTTTTGGCACTCTTAAAAGGGACCTTATTGAGAGGGTCTATATCCCCAAGGGTCCCCCTAATCCTAATGCCCAAGAGCGTAAACCTTGAACTGCAAGCTGAAGTGCTAGAGATCCCAAGAGAGATCGAGCAGCGAAGTTGCGAACATGCCTTTTCGGGCCACTATGAGAAGAGTACCACCTGGCAGAAATAGCCAGAATCATAGTTAGGATTCCCCGTCGCTTTCTGTGTAAGGCGGGTCCCTTGGGCCGAAGCAGATAACCCCCAGATCCCCTAGACCCCTCGTGGCTTGCTTTAAATCATCAAAGGCCTCAAACCTAAACCGACGGAACTTCCAGGCAACTAGTAGACGGCCTTGAAACGGAGTCGCGCAGCTCTCTCGCCAAAGTTGCTCAGGATACCGAAATGAAACAAAGAGATCCTGCAACCAAGCAAAAGAGCCACTTACGCCTTTGAACAACTCAAAAACCGTGAGCCCTAGAAGCCCATGCACCAGGACTCAGAGAAGGTGGCCCCTAAACTTTGTTGACTCCAAGACGTCGTAAACCTCGACTCAGCTGCTGCTACCACTACCACTACTACTACTACTACTACTACTACTGCTACTGCTACGACGACGACGACGACGACTACTACTACTACTACTACTACTCCTCCTCCTGCTGCTGCCTCTGCAACTACTACGACTGCCGCAGGTACGATATCACGCGGTACATTCCACAGCATCCGCCCTGCTCCGGTTTGGACTGGTCCAAACGTTTGGCCGGGCGGAGGTTTGAGGATTTCTTGGGCCAGGCTCCTTTGGTTCAACTTAGCAGTAGAGTAGGTAACCTTCAACCTTTTTGGGGCTACTATGCACATAGTTACTACATTCCCTGTATAATCCAAACAGTTTGGCTTCGGGTATGTAAGGTTTAAAGGTTCAGGATTTAAAGGGTGTCTCGTGCTTCAGCGGTTGTGTTTTTAATTAGGGCTTCAGGCTTGTAAGGTTTGAGGGGGATCGATAATCCGGGGCTGCTGAAGGATTTGAGAGGGCTGTAGGATCACGTTTGTCAGTTGAGGACTTTACGCGGGGCTTGCTTGTGTGATCTTGTGCGTATCTATTTGTTACAGGGTTGCGGTTTGAAGGGCTGTGGGATTCAATCATTGGGTTTTGGTCTTCTGAAGGGGATAGTGCCGCGAATAAGTCATGCATGATGTTACGACAGAAATACTTTAGATTTTCGATTGTTTCCATGTCCAGTCCATCCAACTCGTAGAGTCATGCAAACTATTTAAAGACTGGTTCACGGGTTGGCACTGGGGCATGGTTGTGTGTGTGTGTGTTTCTGCATTATTTCAAATTTAAAAGGCAATGAGTAACTATGTCAGATAGTGATGAGTTGAGCGCCAAAGGACTCAAGATGTAGAAACACTCCAACGACATATGCACTAAGGATTCCGCCACGTCCATCCACGAAACCGAGACGATCCTACGACTTAAACCCAAGCCCAAATCCCAAACAAGCCTAGACTGTGAATCACTCCGACCATACACCATAACCCCCAACCTTCAATCCTAAACCCCTTGAAATTTTAAAAGTGACAAAGTGTGTGCTGCGGATTGTAGGGCCTTGATCAAGACTTGCAACAGGGATCTCAGAAGTTGCAAGACCCCTGAAGAAACAGTCGCTCCGGGGTTTAATGGGTCTGTGGATGTTGAGTTTAGGAATCAACTGCAGGGTTTAGGGTTGTGGATTTGCGAAGGGGTTTGGCCCACAAAAGCCTTGGGAAATCCTGGTCACAGCTTAGATCATGTCATTGCAAAAGCCTAAATGCTGAATCCTAAACACGCACGCCCTGCTAGAACTCTTCTACTCGAAAGCACAAAAATCTCCTAGTCTCAGACGGTGGAGCCTGAGCCACCAATCTCTATCAATAACGTGACAGAACCCCAGCAGAACGCCATACCCGATAAGAAGCCTTTCGAGGGCGAACTCTGCACCGGTGCTGCACTCTACAAAATCCTAAGCCCTAAAGCCTAAACCCCAAATCCTAAACCCAAAATCCTAAGCCCTAATTCCTAAACCCAAAATGCACCGTTGCCCAAATTTCCAATGATGGCTTGAGGATGCTTTCGGCCCCGCACACCTAGGCATCTTGCTGCTCGGGAGGGTTCAGGGTGGGGGAGGGGTGGGGTTTACCTGCTTCAAGGGTTTAGGGTTTAGTTATGAGAATGTTGTCCGTTTGTTGGGGTTTAGGTTTGAGAGACTTCCTTCAAAAGGGTTTAGGGTATAGGGTTTCTGTTATGAGAGTTTTGTCTTGGGTTTAGGGTCCCGGGTAGTGCTATTGGTGCTGCAGCTGCTATACCGAACATCTTGGGTGGGGGGCGGATGCACCCTCGACCCTAAACCTTCTAGCCTTCCAGCAGTCAACTTCGCGGCTCGAGTTTCACGATATGCCTTCTTGCCATTCTGCCAGTATCCCTAAACCCAGAAGTACCATTCCCTAAACCCTAAACTACAATTCCCTAAGCCCTAAACTATATTTCGGGACATGTGTAGGTGCTCGTGTTCTCGCGGTATCCTCAGCTATGAGCCTTGCAGTCCGCAGCTCCTTACATGGACCCTGCTGTACTGCCATGCTCGATTTCAAAGTACAGTTTTATATAATACTCCTACTGTTCACTTCACGCTTAAAACGCAGAACTGCTTGACCAAGAATCGAGACTTGCACAAAACCCGGAAAGCCGTGACGGTCATGTTGGGAACGACTGATGACCATGACGAAGCTGGTGAGGTGCGCTATGCTGCATGCTGGTGCTAGGAGCGGTTACATCATGGTGATGAGGATGGTGGTGGTGACGATGTTTATGTTGACGATGATGAAGGTCATGCGTCTGATGGCGAAGATGATGGCAACGATGATGCTGCTGCTGATGATGATGATGGTTGGCACCTGCAGCATTGATGTTCACGGCCAGCACCGACATCCCCATGCAATCCTCTGACCACAAACTTGACAACAAGCAGCTCAATACTACGTGGTAAGCACCGCAGCTGACGAGATACAGTGACGCTGCATTAGGGTTAGGGTTTAGGTTAAGCTGATGCGAAGTTCTGCAGCAGAGCCCGGTGCATGTGAGGCTGCGGCCCCGATGCCAACTGCAGCAGAGGAGTGAAGGCGCGAAGGGAACCATGATTCCCGTGCCCTGAAACAGTGGCCTTGGAAAGTCGACTAGGGTCTGGTGTATATTAGTACATCATTCTACAACTACTCGGGGGGCGACAGTGGGACATGGTCACTACCTATTCCGACCGCTGTATATGTCTTGGGTGTCATTCGACGCCTCCGTTCGAAGGATAGCGTGAGGCCCGCAATCTTTTACGGTCGTTCAGAGCGTGAACTATAAGGTTTAGGCTTTAGGATTTTGTGTCATTGGCTTGAAGCACCCCAAAATTGTCAGTTTACATGGCGAGCTTTCACGTTCTGGAGCCACGACAGCTTGACCTGCCAGGACCAAAACGACAGAATGCAGGGCCTAGGGCCTAGGGTTGAATATATGCGGAGGCCACGAAAATCTACAGAATCTACTCTGCTGTCCAACGTGACGACACGCCGTACTGCACAGCCACGGGTTCGTCTCAGACATCTCCCTTGAAACTGCAGCCCCAAAAAGCCAATAACCTTCTGAGCCTTGAACCTTTAAACCATGCCAAAGTTACAGGCTGAACTTGCAAAGATCCTGGAGCCCTATCGCATCGGTAAGCTGGCATCTTGGCTCGCACAATCATCTAGAGGCAGCCTCCTTGGGCTTTGAATTCTGGACCGGCCGAAGTCTCTTGCCCAACATATGCCCTTCTTTATCACAGACCTTTCGGCCGCATAGTCTCTATGAGTCACGATCCTGTGAATTTCTGACCCTAGGCGCTGTCGACACATTCGACACTCCAAGCCGTGAATTCCTAGATCCAAACGCTTATAGCCCCAAAACATCATGAACCCTAGCACCCTAAAGCCCAATACAACCCATGTAGTATATAAACCATGAAAATACCCCTGAACACATAAAGCAAACAGATGAGTGAGAGAGAGAGAGAGAGA